TCGCCTTCTAGAAAAGATATCTTGAGAAGCATTTATTCAATTGAGCTAAAATTTTCAGGATTTGTTGTTTTTAGTACGTTCTGTGGGATAAGCATAGGACTTTTTCATCCAGTACATTCTGTCAAAGTTATGTATTGAAACGTATGCTAGATTTTCTGTATCAGATTTAACTGGTCATCATTTCACGTGCTTTTAACTTTTCAAAAATCTCTATGCTTATCCCAGCAAGCTGTTTGTCTTCTTTTGTAAAGTGTAAAAATTATTCCTTTTGATCAGTTCTAGCAAGAGTTATCTTTCCTCAAGTAAGCCCTGGCATTCCCCAGCAGGTGGCAGATTTAATCAGCCGGTGTCAGGTTACAATACAGTTATAGGGTACACAAATGTTTTTTTCATAATCTTTGCTCTTTGAGCTTTTTCAGAATGTATACTTTGCCATGGTTTGGAGTTAACTCTTAGCCGCGAAAAAATGTTTGAAACATGGTGTGTTTTTAAATGTTTTTAAGTTAAGTCCCACCTTAAGAAAATGCGGCACACTCGGAAAAATGCTGCACACCTGGAAACATGCGCCACAATTGGGAAAATGCGCCACACTCAAGAAAATGCAGCACACTTCAAAAAATGCATCACACTTAGAAAAATGCGCCCTATTTAAAAAAATGCGCCACACTTGGATAAATGTGCCTCACGTGGATAAATGCGCCACACTTAAGAAAATGCGGCACATTTAATAAAATGTGCCAAACTTGGAAAAATGCGCCACACTTAAAAAATGCGGTACACTTCGAAATATGCGTCACACGTAAGAAAATGCGGCACACTTGGAAAAATGCGCCACACTTAAGAAAATGCGGCACATTTGGAAAAATGCTCCACACTTAAGAAAAATGCGGCACACTTGGAAAAATGCGCCACACTTAAGAAAATGCGGCACACTTGAAAAAATGTCCCACAATTAAAAAAAGGCGTCACACTTAGAAAAATGTGCCACGTTTAAGAAAATGCGCCACACTTGGATAAATGCGCCTCACGTGGATAAATGCGCTACACTTAAGAAAATGCGCTACACCCAAAATAATGCGCCACATTTAAGAAAATGAGGCACACTTGGAAAAATGTGCCACACTGAAAAAACTGCGGCACACTTGGAAATATGCGCCACACTTAAGAAAATGCGGCACACTT